CGTCATTCAAGGTATTTTGTTTGCGAAATGTTCTGAGCGGCTAGTCCACAGAGTGAGAGACCGAGCTTTCCGAGCCATGCTTCGTCAAGACGTTGCCTTCTTTGACCGCGATGAGAACACTGCAGGAGCCCTCACTTCGTTTCTCTCTACTGAAACAACTCATGTCGCTGGACTGAGCGGCGTAACTCTGGGTACGCTGTTGATGGTTGCCACGACACTCATCGCTGCCATTGCTCTATCCCTAGCAATTCAGTGGAAGCTTTCGCTGGTTTGTATTTCAATGATCCCCGTCCTCTTGGCATGTGGTTTTTTCCGCTTCTGGATCCTCGCTCAATTTCAGCGCCGCTCAAAGGTTGCCTACGATAGCTCTGCCGGGTTTGCCTCCGAGGCAATCTCCGCCATCCGCACCGTCGCCAGTTTGACCCGCGAAGAGGATGTCTTGAAGCAGTACAGAGACTCTCTGGCTATACAACAGCGGAAGAGTCTAATCTCCGTCCTGAAGTCCTCCACCCTCTACGCCGCCTCTCAGAGCCTCCTGTTCGCATGTTTCGCCTTAGGGTTCTGGTGGGGAGGGACGTTAATAGGACGTTTCGAAATGACCATGTTTCAGTTCTTTTTATGCTTTATGGCAATCATATTCGGCGCTCAGAGCAGTGGTGCGTAACAATCGAGATTTAACTCAGCTGTTGAATCTGCCCCTATATCAATTCAGCCCAGCTATCTGAGGAACCTAACATAGCTAACCAATCACAAATTAACAGGTACAATCTTCTCCTTCGCTCCTGACATGGGCAAAGCGCACCATGCTGCCGGAGAACTCAAAAAGTTATTTGATAGACAGCCCGTGGTTGACACTTGGTCAAACACTGGAGCGCGTTTGTCTCACGTTGAGGGCACACTCGAATTCCGGGACGTCCACTTCCGATATCCTACAAGACCAGAACAGCCTGTCCTCCGTGGTTTGAATTTGACTGTTCGACCGGGACAGTACATCGCTCTTGTGGGCGCTTCAGGCTGTGGAAAATCCACTACCATTGCACTCTTGGAACGTTTCTATGACCCCCTTTCCGGCGGAGTGTTCATCGATGGACACGAAATTAGCACGTTAAATGTGAATGATTATCGATCACATATCGCTCTCGTCAGTCAGGAGCCCACACTCTATCAAGGGACGATCAAGGAAAATATCCTCTTGGGTACTGCCCGCGAGGATGTCCCAGATGAGGATGTTGAGTTCGCCTGTCGCGAGGCTAACATATACGATTTTGTCATTTCACTCCCTGATGGCTTCAACACCGTTGTCGGTAGTAAGGGCACTCTGCTCTCTGGCGGGCAGAAACAACGTATTGCCATTGCAAGAGCTTTGATCAGAGATCCCAAGATCCTGCTCCTTGATGAAGCAACTTCAGCTCTAGATTCTGAGTCAGAGCATGTGGTACAGGCAGCCTTGGATAAGGCGGCCAAGGGCCGAACCACTATTGCTGTTGCACATCGCCTGAGTACTATCCAAAAGGCCGATATTATTTATGTTTTTGACCAAGGGCGTATTGTCGAGCAAGGAACACATTCAGAGCTGATGAAGAAGAATGGGCGTTACGCAGAGCTGGTCAATTTGCAGAGCCTCGAGAAGCAGAGTTAAACTCAGATGGAATTGTGAGACTTGGTGCATGGTATCGGCGTTTGGGCGGTCTGTTATTAGCAGGGACATCCCTCTCTTGAAGAAAGGAGGGCATTTTCTCATTATTGTTTGTAATATTTCTGATGTAAACCATCTGATCAACCAACTCTTTTCAAGAATTCAATTGCCATACCACAGACGTGCGTCAGAAAACAAGAAAACTCCAACACTAAATTCATCAAGGAACCCGCTAAGACTTTAGTAGTTTACCTAAGTATTTGTATAATTTAGGATCAGCATCCCATCGAGGAGCGTTCAGAAAGCCGCCACATGGCTGTCGCGTGCAACAGCACATCCAAGACAAGGAGGAGGAATTATAGGGAATGAAAAAGGGTCTCGAACATGACAGCTGGAACTATCAACTCTTGGCGGTTGAATGAACGATACTGGGAGTTCTGGAAAGACGATAATGGCTGACGGGTACAAACAGCGGATAACCGCATTGTTTACTAAGTTCTCTAACCTCATTAGCGGTAGACGCGGCCACAAATAATCAGTCAATCGTTTACGTTTTATGGCCGGCGGTAGCGGTGAATGCGGTGATGATGGGCCCCCGATTGTTTTAGACACAATTGTCTCTGCTAACTTTAGACATTGCACGGTAGCCAACGGCTGAAGGTGCGGGAATGGAAAACTCGATATGGTATTGGGTCTGACACACTTTTAGATAGAAGTCATCTTTGTAATATTTAGACAAGCTACCAATGAATCGCGTTATTCATTTTTGATAGTCGCTTGATGATCGAGACCCAACACATCTCACATCATATCAGAGGCTAGAGTTTAGCTAGGGCAGGAATTCCTTGGCAGGGGAGCAAAGCTGTTCATTGGAGAGGGTTAAGAAGCCAGGGAAATTACTTTAGGCGTTGCAGAAACCATGCAAGGTACGCGAGAAGCTATGTATCTGGTCACGGTGGAGATTGAGACGACGTTTAGAGGAATTCAACTTGGCCTCAGGGAGTAAGAAAACTTGCAACCGTTAATCAAGCAATCAGGGTGCCAAAAATAAAAATAAAACCAAGAATTCTAGTCTAAAGTACCAAGTTATACTCATCGCTCAGGGGGCCTGTCTTAGCTTTGGGCCAGAGAATCGCTGATTAAATCAACATCACCTGAGTATCCGGACGGATAGAACCATTCCGGCACTGGCCTGAAGCTGACGAGGGCCTTCTCAGTTGAAGAAACGAAACATTACGACGGAATGAAACGAAACGGTGAGAATGAATGAACAATCTTGCAAGTTTTCAGTCGTGTGCATGCATGAACTGAACTTCAACTGAGAGACCTGATCGAGAATGGATAGTCCCTCCGGAGCACCCACTCAGCGCCCACCACCCACCAATAAACCTTGGAATGAGGTGATGCCCTGAAGCGATCGTACTAGCCTAGAAATCGGTTGTAGATGCTATTTTTTGCCTTGTTGTGGCTGGATCCATGCCCCGGGGATCAAGAAAACTCAAGACTTGAAGAGAGGGTGCCAAAAATAAACTTAGTAAAGAGCCCCCTAAGCTTAGGCTAGATTTACCTAAATATTTTTTCATCTCGCGTCAAGGTCCTGAGTTTTCTTTCCTCCCCTAGCCATGGTAATGGTGGCTGGCCCGTTATGGGGAAGCGAGATTTGACCCTCCCCTTTTCTAGTCGCCTTTCCTAAGCCTTGCCATCTTTAGCTCGATGTCCGTTTCGACCTGAGAATACATGCGGGAACATGCATTTTGGCTTGCGGACAATCAATCGTGTAACCCGGAGAATATGAGAGTGTTGTATCCTTACAGTACATGTGCATGCAATACCGTTCGGAGAATGGAGGTCCCCTCTGGGATGGATGTCGGTAGTAAGCGGGCCGGCTTGAAACATAATTGAGCCCCAGTAACCTAAGAATGTGAATGCCATGGACGTGTAAGGCGCCGAAGGAGGTTTCTCTTCTACAATTGATGTTTTGTGGTTTGTCTGTATCAGGAGTGTTCTAGTTATCAGAATGGGTGGCAGTGCATACATGGAGCTGGGTGATGAATTATTGGCACACTCTTCACTATACCCTCCTGAACTGTGTCGCCGTGCAGCATTCTTTATACTTGTATTATATAAACTTCGCATTATTATCCAGTTACAGTACACACTCTACACTTTACGTGACACGGTACGGAGTACAGCACACTACTTCAGGCCCAGTCAATAAACCGTCGCGCTAACAGATACTACTGCAAGCCTCAAAGGAGGGTTTAATTATCCTTGCTATTTCCCGGGTTCAAGCCATGGGTCTCTCTGCTCTTGAATTTGATTGATTCATCAATGCCTGCTCGATCCTGGTCAAAATTGACAAGCATACAAAAGCAAGGCAGGGCCTGGGCTGGAGTCGTTTGTCTCCCCTCCGACTTGGCCCGCTAGAGTCAACTTGGCTGTCCTTGTAGGGGTTTTTGCTTTCTTGTCCGGCATCACTGATCCCATTTCCCGTGATATCCACTTAGAATTCTATGCTGGCATCTCTAATCAACTGGTGGGCGCCCTCTTCCTTTCCTTCGATCTCTTTTTGCTTGCGCAGCAGTAGTTACAGACCTCCCTCTACTTCAGGTGCTGTTAGAGCCGCCGTCGATCACTCGTTTCTCGACCCGCCATTCATTCGTTAAACTTGCATCTGTGCTCGTCAACTCCAATACTCCTTTTCGACTTACTCACGACGATCATTTTCAACCCCAGACTCAACTTCAGCTCCAACTGCAACTGCAATATACAGTCACTCGCTCTTTCTTACATCCTGTTCCTTTTGAATAAGCACTTGGCCACATCAACCGCTGCCAAATTTGTGCAAGTCTCGAGCACCCAATAGCAATTCTACGGTCATCTCATCTCCCCCCTGGCAACCAATCCCATCTCGCATCTGGTATATCACGCACCGCATTACACTCGTTCTCGACCATCGAAGCTGCAAAGGACCCCCCGCGAACGATTCTCATTTATCAATTGACTTCCCACTCATCGGAAGTGTCATCCGACTTGGAGCCTTGCAATTGCGCCATGCAACGATAACAATACAGACCCTTCACCGAGAAATTGTTAAATATTGGCTTTCAGCACCAGTCGATTGACTCACTACCGCTACAACTATCGCTTCAGCGTGTGCTTCACTATCCAATACTGACCTACCGTCGCCATTTATCGTGTCAAATTGGGCCCATCGTGGTGAAACACATTCAATCTTGTGTGATTGTTCTGTGCTGCCAATCCACTTAAAAGGTTGTACATATCGCCATAAATTCGATTGCTGCACATACTTAAGATACGATTTATTACATCTTTGGCGTCCCTCGCCTCGTCGCTCGTTACCATGGTTTCAACATCGTGGCCTCCCTCAACAACAACTTGCAGTAGGCCGAAGTCCACCAGCTACCGCGCGCCCCGCTTGCGAATAGCCTTATCATTTCTCCTACTCTTAGCATGTCTTACTTCTACGGTCCTAGCGGGTACTGAGACATCATCTTCGCTACGACATCGACGACACCATACACCTACTATCAACAGATACGAGCTGCACCGACGCAAGGATGAAGATGAGGTCAAGGAGATCGTCAACAAGGAAACCGCTTCCAAAACTGAGGGCAAATCCAAGAAGGCAACAACTGTCACCATCCAACGTGCTGCAAAGACTGCTGCTGCGACAAACACACCTTTACCCGAAGCTTTTGACGGAAATTTGTCAGCCGAACTTTCGACCACTTCAGATAGCAACTGCCCCGCGTTTCTGAATGGTATCCTTTCCGACCCTTCTTACGAGACTTGCTACCCCCTCTCTATGATGCTCCAGGTACGTTCCAGTCAAGGGATGGGCAGGCCGGTCATAAATATTGACAAAACCACAGACGTCCCGTGGCTTCTTCGAAGCCCAGAAACAGCTCTTGAGCATAGTCCGAGTACTCGATGCAACCTGTGCTGCAAACGTCACGTACTGCACTGACTTTTTCGATGCTGCAGCGCGCAACCTCACTGCATCAGAAAACTGCAAACAAGAATGGGAATCGGGCAACACTATCGTCAAGCAGTTCCTTTATGGTATGAAGGCCTACGAGATGATGTACAAGGCTACCTGTCTTCAAACACCTGAGGATGATATGTATTGTTACGCCAATGCCGTCACAAATACTACGACTGCCGCCAACGCCTACTTCTACTACCTACCGTATAACCTTACTTTGCCTGGCAGCACCAATCCTTCGTGCAGCTGGTGCATACAAGAAACTATGAACATCTTCCACGCAGCCGCTGAAGACCGTTCTCAACCTGTGGCACTCACCTATGAAAGCGCAGCTCGACAAGTGAACACTCTCTGTGGCCCAGATTTTGTCAATAGCACTTTACCACCAGAAGAGACCAACCGGGCTCATGTGTTTGCCCCGTCATGGGTTGGCTTAGTACTTGCCCTCGGCAGTGCAGCACTAGTCAATGCTGTGTTATAGAATATCGACCCTGACCAGGACCACCTCAGCTATACTTCTTTCGCTTCTCAATTTTCGACTATTACTCTTTTAATATGTTATGACTACAGATCCATATACAGGGTTTGTGTTTTCTCTTCAGATACGATGCACTTGGCATATCTTCATGACTTGATACCCTTACCAACTTCTTTTTCTTCTTATTTGTTGAACCGATTCAACCTTTCAGCCCTGCGAGGGTGGAAGCAGACCAACATGCAAAACAATGCTATAATATTATACTACGAAATTACATACATACTTTCTGCCAAAGCTGACATGGCACTTTTTTACTTGGTTTCGGGGCGGGTTGATTTGGAAAAGCGAGCACAGCCTGGAGTTTCTTCACAGCGGTATTCGGTTGGGCATGGGGTTTATGCTTTGTATTTTTTATAGGTTTCAATGGATGAGCGAGCTTGGGATATGATAGATCGGTGGACTTCAAAAGCGCGATGGACTCCAAATGGGAAATGATGGGATATAGTATCTATACATTACTTAGAGGAGCTATAAGGACTGAACACTGTACTGCTAATAGCCAGTTTTAAATACATTTTGTTCATACACGCCACTCCAACTCCACCATGTCAATAAAGTCACGTATCGCAGTCGATAAGGACAAGTACACGAACCTTACGTCGCCATCAGAGGCGTTATCATACAGTAGTTTTTACGAGCACCGCCCTCCGCTGATACGCAACAGCAGAACGCGTATAGGACGCAGGCTTCGGAAACGTGGCTGGACCTATCGACACCGCCGGTGGTTTATGACGACCTCTGATAGCAAAGGAAGCGCATTTAGGGTTGATATCGCAGACGACTCATCAAGGACGAAGCCGGTTAAAACATTATCAATATTTGGGGACGAGATCTATAATGAAGCAAAGCAAAGCGAACTGCGAATGACTGATTCAAAAACTCCCTTGGTCCTAGGCCACTAGGCACTACCATCAAGCTTCATGCTTTAACTAAGGTAGGAGACGTTTTATCATCGATGCCTTCCTGGCTTCTATATGGGATCATCACCACGTTTACCTCAGGTGTCAGAATACGGCTGACGCGGGATCCCACGTTTCCCATGAAATCAGGTCCACGCCCGATGTTTTTTAACACCATACTCTTCTCCCTTCTCCCCCGAGTCAAGGCGCTGCGCTCCGGTATATATTGAGACATGGGAAGAGAAGGAGGACAAGACGGAGGAGGGCCAGCTTGTCACCGGTCCCTACGATCGCTCTTTACCTTATATCACTAACACTATTCACGCTATTATGCCGCCGCTACGATAGATCTCATTAACAGTTTATTCAACCTGACCTTTATTAAATAGGTTAAGACTACTAAAACGGCCCTGGCCGAGGCCCAGATGAAGAAGGGTCAGCTTATTACCGATCCCTACGATCGCCCCTCCATCACCGACACTGTTCACGCAACCACGCCGCCGCCACGATGGATATCGTCGACGGTTCATTCAATCCGACCTTTATCACATGGGTCAAGACTACCGAAACGGCCCTGGCCGTGGCCCAGATGAATAAGTGCTAGCTTATTCCCCATCACCCTGCCAATGATACCGTCAACCAAATCTTCATAATCCGAGCACTCAGCAAAGAGTTTAGGGTTAGTGGTGCCTCTGTGTGGGATACTTGCTGTGACAAAGCTGCCCCAATCCAGTGACAGTTGATAATGATCTCAGCCTTAGTTGGCTGGACAATAGCAAGCATAACGAACGAGAGATTGACAGCGGTATATATCGTCAAGCTCTGATAACAAAGATAATGACTTCAAATCCGAATGGAGGGGAGAGCCATCAGATGCGAAAGTAAACCATATTATCAGAGGATTCTGCATACGCAAGACAAAGGCCAACGAACCGTAACAAATAGAAATAATAGTGGTACAAATGATGTCGAGACTTTGACACGAGAGTGCCTCGCGCAAAACTTCCAACACCCTTGTCACATCAAAGAATAAGATACCTGCAATGTTCCCTGTACTTAAACCCCACAACTCCAGTATCATATAACATGCCCATCTGCCAGACGCCAATATAAACCCAATTGTCCTTTCCTCAAAACCTCATTTCATGTCTCCCATCCCCGAACCGCGTGACCCCAATTGCTATATGAGATCTCTGTGTCTCCCCAGATTACAGAGTACCCAGTTATCCTTTCATCATAGCCACGCCTCGCATCTTTATTGAAATGATATTTGATAGCGCTCATGCGATCAGTGTGCCAAGATGTAAGCATTTGGCAAAGCCATAAACCCTAAGCAGTGTGTATTGAGGAACTTAGAGGTATGAAAACAAACATACCGCAGGTAACACAGAGTGGGATATGTGTGAGATACGTCGGACAGAGACAATGCCGGGTTGTTGCTTTTTGGGCAATGTCGAATAGTATACTTGTACGGTGTATGTTGCAATCACAGTCGCGTACTCAATCGTTCAATATAAGTGCGAGTGAGCTCACAGTTGTATCCGCGTGCTCTCGGCAGTGGTACGAGGCATGTGGAGACGGCATAGAAAGGGTAATCCTGACCGTATAATCAACAGTGCTGCTGCTGGCGATATATAAGAGACTGGTGATAAAACATCTTTTATGCGAGAAAGCGGCGGACTCTTGGCGGTAATCGTAAGCTGTGTATGATATGAGAGACGACTGTGAGAACAGACCTGCGTCATGCCGTCAAGATAGAATATACGTCACCCTAGCATTCCAGCGAATATGTGGTTATTGAGACCATATCGAGTTGATGGCAATGGTGAACTAAGCGTTCGGATGGCACGGAATCTGTAAACATTTGTTGTCATATGCTTGTGGCTGACGAAGTTCCTTAATGCCCGGGGTTTCTTATGTATCCCGGTAGGGAGGACTCTGCATGTGTTGACAGTGACGGCCAAAGTTAAAGCGGCTGGTATAGGACTGGCGTTCTGCTGGAAGGATATAGTATACGTGATGAGTGTCTGCTCGTGGGTAAAAAACCGAGGCGTTCGGCAGGTCGTCAAACAGGATAAACCGAGGGATCTATGTAGTTTTGATCCGAGCATATTGAGGATGAAATGGGGAATCTGTGTGGTTTTGATGACCAAGTCCATCGAATAGGGTTTTGATGAACTGCGGGATCTGTGTGGGTTTGATGAACCAAGCTCGTCGAACAGGATGAATTGTGGTATTTGAGTGGACTTGATCCAAGCTTGCCCAACAGGATAAATTGCGGTACCTTGGTGGGTTTGCCAGAGCCTGTTCACCAGGCACGGAAATCACATGTAGCAATTAGTGTATTCTCCTTGATGTGAAGATTGTAGCTACTTGGTGTCAATGGTAAAGATCGGAAAGCTCTTGTCGCTTTGCTGAGGCTGGAAGCCTCCGGCAGATACAGAGTGACTGAAGATATCTTCTGCTATGAAGATCATTTCGCGTTGTAGGTGGCTGCGCCGTCTTCAAGACGGATTGCATCCTCTGCAGTTGTATTACGAAACAGCTTGTGGCCTATGGTAGTTCGAAATGCTAGGTAGCTAGATAAGTCGCAATATAAATAATACTTATATTATAGAGTAAGCTATAGATAAAAGAAGTTACTCTATAGGATACATTTCTTATACTACTATAGAGTTTAATGCTATACTTTTTAAGATTAAAAGATATAGCTAGTAATAAACTTTTTAATAAGATACTTATATTTCTAAATATAAAGATAGAAATCTAGATATTAGATAGGGTATAAAAAGTTTTTAGTTAAAGATAATAGATCTTAATAGGATACTCTTAGCTAGATAGAGGGAAATAGCTACCTTAATTAAAGTAGTTTAGGAATATACTTACATTTAGGGTAGCAGATATAATAACTATCTTTAGATTAGGGAAGAGTGTAGGCGCAGTTGGGAGTAAGAAGTTCTTGGTGGGAGATAACGGATCTTGACAGGATGTCCTCGGCCGGATAGAGGAGATGACTGCCTTGACCGGAGATCAGGTAAGAGTGATGGCGTAGTTAGGGGTGAGAAGTTTCTGGTTGGAGATAGCGGATCTCGACAGGATGTTCTCGGCCGGACAGAGGAGATGACTGCCTTGACCGAAGTAGTTCGGGAAAACATCGATGTTTGCAGCGGATAGTTATGATAACAAGCTTCGGATCAGGGGAATGTGGTAAGGCATACTCCGTACTCCAATTGTGCCAGAAGCAGATCAGTCGGGATGATGCGCTTATGGGCCTCTTCAATAGGAAGCAGTTCAGGAAAACATCCACCTTCGGGGTGGCGGATGTGATGACTATCTTCAGACCAGGAAAGAGTGGTAGGGCACGCTTCAATAGTGCCAGTCGGGATGGTGCGCCTTGGGGCGGATATGATGACTATCTTCAGACCAGGGAAGAGTGGTAGGGCACCCTTCAATAGTGCTAGGAGGAGATCAGTCGGGATAGTGCGCTCATAAGCCTCATTAACAGGAAGCAGTTCAGGAAAATATCCACGTTCGGGGTGGCGGATATGATAATCTTCAGGGAAGAGTGGTAAGGCACTCTTTAATAGTGCTAGGAGGAGATCAGTCGGGATGGTGCGCTTCCGAGCCTTATCAATAGGTTTTGGTGAAGAGGTTTTGACTGAGGGGGGAAAGGAGGAGAATGGATGACTTGTTCGGAAGCCTTCAATGCAAAGGAGTACAGCTGCCCCGCTTATGCTTATTTCGGTAGGAGGCAGGGAATGTTCCAATTTGTCTGGTCTGATCGCTCTGCCAAGAAAGCAGTGAGATGTATATTGTTTGGTATGCCCCGTGGCCCTAGGAATCGCTGCTCAACCGCGCCTATACGTGAGAGCTCCAGATTGTGTGAATTTGAATGAGCTGTCATATGCCTTGGGTACGCTGCAGCAGATCATTGATGCTTGGCGGCAGTGTGCGTGCTTCCTTGGAGGCGTTAAAGTGAGTTGTTGGTGCTTGGTAAAAGCGCAACCTCGATATACTGCAGCAAGTTGACATTGCGAAGGCGTGTTCCCATTGTGTTGCTGGGCGTCTGCTTGATACTGGCAGGACGGATGATGCTGCCCTCCACATAGCATTGCTTTGTAGACTGACTGGAGGCCAAGCGCTGCCATTCTTTGATTCATTGACGCACGTATGATAGAGGCAATGTATTTGGCTGGATCAGGTATTGCTTGCAGACTTGGGTTTTCTGATAAAGGCTGGGGTACTTGGAGCTGACGAGAACCTCTGATCCCTAATGGTGAGTTTCGAGACGCATCTCGTAGATGCTGATCAGCCTGTCCTTCTCCGGGATGGTGCGGGGTGGATAAGGCGCTTCAACAGTGGTGATAGGGAGAGTAGACCTTTGATCCCTAATGGTGAGTTTCGAGACGCATCTCGTAGATGCTGATCAGCCTGTCCTTCTCCGGGATGGTGCGGGGTGGATAAGGCGCTTCAACAGTGGTGATAGGGAGAACTCTTAGAGTTCGGGAGAGGATAGTTGCTTCTGTTGGCTATTTGGATAAATCTGCTAGCAAGGGATAAGCCAGGCGTGATTATGGCCATGCTAAGTGCTTGGATTATGAAGATTTGGTTGACGGTATCCTTGGCAGGATGATTGTTGGGGCTTCTCCGGGTCTCGCGTTGGCGATTTGCCTCTGAGGGTAACTGATCATTGGGGAATTGGGATTGGCCAGTCTGGCTGCTTCTTCTGGACTTCCATTGAATCGAGCCTTTCGAACTTTGGTGGAGTTTGCTTTGCTTGATGGTTCATTGTTGCGGAAGGCTTCAATGGCGCATGTGGGAAGGGTATTGCGACTGCCTTAGGGTAAAGGTATTTCGAGTTCTTTGAGTGTTTCTTATAAGGTGAGTAAAGTGTGTTTTGTATACGGGACCTTGCGGTTTCTGCCGTATATATGCTTGTAATAGATGACTTGCTTTGCTTTTGCGTGGTTTGTGTGGAGGAAAGGTCTTGGACCTGCGATTTGCTCCTCTGGCGCTCAGAGATCGTAAGGCCAGATGTCCGCCTCTGTACCGGATATCCTGAATGACTTGAGACATATAATTTCGAGGATGTCCCTGAATATTTGTAGTGAAGGCCTGCCAGCTGGTGAAGGTTCGAGTCTTGTTTCTTGGGGAGGTTCCTCATTTGTGGTGCAAGAATAGGCCTGGCTTCTTGGTGGATAAGACGTTTGAATGGGGGAAGTTGAATGGGTGCTTGATTTGAGGTTACTGCATGCAATTGACGGCGCTGATCCTTTGAGATGGGAGGAGTCGCCGATAGTTGTTGGGTATCCATGTGGCGTGTGGTATGAATCCTCATCAAGACAGTTATCGCTTGAAGGGAATCCTTTCGTTGTTGATGCAGTTGGTCTTTGGGTGTTGTGATCCTTTATCCTGCTCCATAGAGGAAGGGCTTGCCTGCGACAGTTCGAGGAACTCGGCACCGTGGAGAGGGTTGGCGAGACACTGCCATCATACAAGAATAACTGATACAACGCCAGACACCAGACACCAAGCGCCATACAAGAACAACCCCATTAACGCCAAACGCCAACCAAAAAAGGAAACAAGAAAACAAAAAGAAAACAAAAAAAAAAAAGAAATAAAAAGGGGAAGAGGTCTTCCTGCCTGACTAAAGACCAGAGGTCCTCCTGATGCTTGGTGACTAAAGACCGACCTACCTGGGCTGCGCGATGTGCTGCGAAATGATGCCCGAATATGTGTCTCTTGTGTTTCGTAACAACTTCGTGAATATTGCCATCAGCTGTCATCCTGGCATGGTCGTTCATCACCGTTCCACTCGAAGTAGTGATGGCAACGCGAGCATCTCCACTTTGTATCGTCTGAGGGATCTTGCCTCAATTTCATTTTCTTGCTGGGAGTGTATTACTGCAGCCTGGTGTCTGACGAGAGGATATAGCTGATAATGAACTGTTCCTGATCGCAGAGCGGAAACCCGGGCACTCAGCAGGGCGGTAGATGCCGCCTGTTCTGAAATCGGAGAGGTGGGTTTGTCGGTAAGAGGCTCCTGGTGACAGGCTTCTGACCCATGGACAGAATCGGGATGCTGGGCAGCTGGACAAGTCGCAACATAACTAACACTCGTATCATGGAGCAAGCCATAGACGAGAGAAGTTGCTCTGTAGGACGCGTTTCCGTGCCACTGCGGAGTTCGGAGCCGCGCTTTCTAAAATCAGAAGATATAGCTGCTAGTGGACTTTTTGGTGAGATGCTTCTAAGCGTGAGGACGGAAATCTGGATATTGGGCAGGGTGTGAGAGGTTTTGGTTAGATGTAATAGATCTTGATAGGATGCTCTTAGCTAAGTAGATACATAGAGATTATTACCTTAACTAAAGTAATTTAAGAATATACTTATTTTTAAAATAATAAATATAATAACTATTTTTAAATTAAAGAAAAGTAAAAAAATAAATAAAAATAAGAAGTTCTTAATTAATAATAATATATTTTAATAAAATAGTTTTAATTAAATAAAGGAAATAACTACTTTAACTAAAATAGTTTAGGAAAATACTTATATTTATAGTAGATATAATAACTAGCTTTAAACTATGAAAGTATAATAAAGTATACTTTAATAATACTTAAAGT